GGGACCAAATCTATAAAACCTAACGGCAAAGAAGCTGTCTCTTATACACATCTAGATGTGTATAAGAGACAGTAACACATCCAATCGACAGTTGCACTTCGCCTCTCTCTCTCTCTCTCTCAACACAAACATCCAACATGTTCCAACTTTTCCTCTGTCAACACTTTGCCCCATCTTTCGCCCCACCGCCCGCTATCTATCAGTCAAGGGACAAAAAACTGTTCCATTGATGAGCACTTGACTGATAGGTAGCCGCCGAACCTCCAAGGCCACACGGGACCACCACATCAGCCTGCACAGGTGAGCACGCCTGGTGTCCGCACGCACGCGCAGGAGGACATGGGAGAGTCCCCCCCTGTGGCAGAAAAGTTCTGCGCCAACCAGACGCACAGATACACCTGCCCCCAACTCGGCAAGGGCCCACACCCGAATCCTGGCACTTAAAACTTTACCTGGTACTGATCCGGGTGCCTACCGAACTTGAATTGGTACAGATCCGGGTGCCCGCCCGAGCGTCCTTTCCCCGACAAAACTCTGGAACAGAGTTTCACCATGGAACACGTCCTTTGCCTCCCCCCACCGCCCCTTCCTTGACTTGAATTATGGCCGAATCTGATTCTGTTCATAAACTAATCATGTATACCACAGCGATGCCCAAATCAAGTTTTAGAAAAAGGAGGAGAGATTTGTCCCATACCTGCGGCGCAAGCCGCACAGCGCAGGGTGTGCGCGGACCAGCGGCGCCGCACCACCGAAAATACAGGCCCCCCCCCAAAAAAAAAAAAAATTGGCCCATCACGGAGTACCAGTTTCCCCCCCACAGGGAAAAATGTTTGAAACGCCACGCGATTTTTTTTGGGGCCCCCGCCCAGGGCCGGAAATGGGGAAATTTTTTTTGGCGGCCTTCTTTGTCTTGCCACTCACGAGCCAACTTCGAATTCGAAGTATTATTTTCAAAGTTGGCTCGTTGGCCCTGTCGTGAAGCCGCCGCCGTGCCATTGGCATCGCCTGGAAGACTGTGTGGAGGAAGAGGGAGACGAGGGGTGTGGAAGCAAGTGGAGGACACTGTCAGTGGTGCAGGGAGTCCCCTCCACCTCCCGCCATCATCCTTGTCCACAACCTCCTCCCTTCTCCCTCCTCCTTCCTCCCTCTGCCATCTCCCGTCCTTCCTCCCTCCA